ACGATGAATAATCAATACAGAAGGAAATTTTTAGATGGGCTCATCAATACGGACAGGAGGTAATTGAAATCAATGAGGAAAGTAAGCACTAGTTTTTGTAGTAATTGTAGTCAATAATGCCCCTCTTTACATGCGGTACACAAATGTCTTCAAGACGATGGAAAATATTGATTGATTACATAAAACTGCAGAAATATATTTGTATTAAAAAGTGCTAGAGATATTTTCCTTGAAATTGAATTGCGGGTTAGAGGTTCATAAGCATTTATTACACCGGAAATCTCCTGTTTCATAAGATTATTAGCATGATGTCCGTTGCCTACATCCAACGGTGATTAAATTTCCTAATTAACTATTGTTATGCTTCGCACACATACCTATCACGGAACAGAGCCAATGCTTAACTATTTTTTGGTGTCGAATAGCTCAACCGTCAGTCAATTATGTTAATAAAACGAATTCACGACTTTGCACTTTCCTTAGTAGCACCTTTCTGATAATTGTGATCATGATGGTTTAGAGTTATAACATTGACTAATACTGGGAAGGGAATACTACTCCTAATTTGTAGCTTTTTTTAATTACAAAAACTTCGTATTGATAGGAAATATTCAACTTTATTTATAAATGAAATTAAAATAAAGCGATTTGCAATACATTAATATGATAAGAATTTTCAGGTGCGAGTCTAAATCCTACTGGCACTCGGTGTCCGCTAACACCAACTTGATATAAAACGCAAGTAGGTGGTTAAATCGCCTTCACATAAGTATATTACTTTAAATAACGCTTGAGCACTAAATTCTCTTTAATAATAATTTGTTTATCAAATAGGCGCTAGTTCAAATATACGACGAGACAAATGGTAATACGACACAAAAGCGGCAATACTGCAAAGCGATAGAACAAATTGTTCATACTCATAAATACCTTCGATGTTTGTGCACGGACCGCCCACAGAATCCTCGCTGATGGAAATTTTTATCTTCATGCTTTTCTTCCTTGGAAAAGCAGCGTCCGCCGGTAGCTCTATGGAGATGATACCTCGCTCTTTGCTTAATTTCTATCATTGGAATCCACTCAATCGACCGATTGGCTTAAAATTGCACGGCGCGTGTAACGCCGTTTAACGCACTGCTGCTTTCCTATTTACACTCATATTTATAGTCCCTTGTAAAATATTTTATTCCTCGCTATTATCAGGTTTTTGTCATTTAACATTCGATTGTAGTAGACACTTTTAACTCACTCTTCTTGCTCTTATTTTAATCACAGTAATCCGCTTCATGTACCTCTTCCTGAATATACACGCATAAAGCAGTATTTATTTATTTATTTACATCTGAAATAAAATTCCATTTCTAACCGCGCTTTTTACTTTATATTTCTAAGTCCCTTTTAGCTTCCTTACGGTTAAATAAAAAAAAACATATGAAACATATGAACATGAAATAATTAATTTCTCTTGAATGCTGAACCGGCTTTATGGTTCAGTGGTAGATCATTGGACTATAAATCCGGAGGTCGGGTGTTCGAACCTGGGTTGAGGTGAATTTTTCCTCTGTGGCAGAGATCGGAATTACCTTACACCAGTTTCGAGTATTCTTCCGGCTACTCCGAATTAGGTTTTCCTGCAGTTTTCCTAATTCGTAAGGTAAATACCGGAGTAGTATAGAAAAACTTAAGACCTTCTGCAGAGGCACCTCTAAAAGGCATTATGCGGGTCACTCTGTAATTGGGCGCAAGCCTGTTGAGGGCCTAAAACAAGAGAGGGATAATAAATAAATTTAAAAAAATAAAAAAACACACACACACCCTCTCACACTCAATTATAGTTAAGTATCTATATTTAGATAATGTTTTTCTGAACTGTACAAATTTTTTGTGCAAACGAAGGGTCGTTACAAGAGGATAAATGTCAAAAGTAGTTAGGTACATTATTGTAGGATTTTAACCAATAACGACCTAAATAACATACATGATATTGCATCAAAAATAAACCAAACCATTCTATGATAGTTAAGTAAAGTACACACTCATATTCTCCAATTTTAAATTCAAGCGGGCTATTGTACTATAAAATAGTCTGATATCTTCATCCCGTTTTGTTAAAGATATCCTAAAATTTTAAATTGCACGATCTGAAAGAATTTAAAGAATGAAAGAAGAATCCAAAGAATCTGATAAATCTGAAGAATTTCAAGAATCTGAAAAATTCGAAGAGAAGCAAAAAAATGATGAGTCTGTCGAATAAAAGAATTCGAAGCATCTGAAGGATACCTACTGACTGAAAGAATTGGAAGAATCCGAAGAAGCTTCAAAACTTAAATAATTTTAACAATTTGTTTCTGAACACTTCGGTGAAACGGAAGCATCAATGGAATCATAAGAATCTTAATTTCGTTCAAAAAACACAAGAATTCGAAGACTATTAAGAAGACCTTGAAGAACCTAAAGAATACAAAAATAATATGAAGAATGCAAAAGAAGAAATCATACGAATTTAAAAAATCAAAGGTTTTAAAAAAAGAAAAGTTCCATAAACTTTAAAAACCTGAAGAATGATTTAAAGAATCTGTTATCAGAAAGAATTAATTAAACGTAAGTATAACAAGAATAAAAAGAACGCAAAGAATCAATACAATGCGATTTCCCTCTTAAATCCCAAGCATCAGGCAGATTCGAAGTGTTCGAATCATCTAAAGAAACTGAAGAATCCTAAGTATGTAAAGAAATGGAAGAATTCCAAAAACCCGGGGAATCTAAAGAATCTGAAAGCTAAGAAAGCAGAGATTTTAAAGAATGTGAAACATAAAGAAACGTAAGAATCCGAAGAGCAGGAAAAATCTAAAGTAGGTATCAGAAAACATCCGATATAGCTTGACTTTCCGAAGTATTCCAAGAATCGTCCAAAGAGTTCCAAAAAACTAAAGGATTTCAGTAGTATCAATAATCTGAACAATTCATCGAGTCTGAAGAAAATCTGAAACATTTGAGAAATAGGAATAATCTGTAGAATTGTGAAAAAACAGGATCTGAAAATGCGAATTCAAGAGAGTCGGTACAACCCGCAGCATCTGAAGAGATAATTGGAGAATACCTTTTTAGGGGGGGGGGGGGGGGGAGATCATATACTTTCCTATACGATCTCTGGTACAAAACATAAATAGAAACTGCCTGAGTTTTCAAATTTTTGCAGCGGCAAGACACACTAACAATTCAGTGAAAATGCACAGGAAATCTTTGTTCATGAAAATTGTTCAACTTACCTAAACCCCGGTAGCTTGCAATTTAATTTTCTTGTGGATAAACAACGAGTAATTTAAATATTGGACAGGGCTAAAGAAACACAAACATTGCAAGGTGGCATTAGTGCTTTCATCTTCAAGGGCCGATTTTTTTTACTAACGAAGTGATATCCTCTGAATGGCCTTGTTGAAAACCCGACATTCAGCATTTCTATGTAAATGCAGGACCTATGCAAATAAGGGATGGCTAAATACATCCGGGTAATTTATTGAATGCTTCTTGTAAGCAAACCGTATTTTATTTTTGACGCCCCATAAATTAAGTTATGGGGATTATTGTTGATGGTACAATGCTCTGACATGAATACTTTGAAGGTAGGATTACGATATTGATATTTAAGCTTTCCTTATATTGATGGTTACACTGACATAACAAACTTTCAAGGGTTTCCTTGTAAGACCCTTTTTATCTAAGTTCATGAAGGATACTTTAGAGATTTCCGAAGCCTAGCATTAATATATCTTTGTGGTTCTAATGCTTTCTTGCTTGCCATTGGGACGCTCTAAATTGGAGAGTAATCTATTTGTGTTCAAAATAGAACCTTTCATCGTGTAGTTCTTGTTTATTAATTTAGCTAATCGCCAGTGTAAGAAGCTGCCACAAAGATCTATGCGGAAAGTGGAAGTAGAGGTTCTTCTTAACAATAAAAACAACAGCCTACTAAGCTTAAAGCTTGTTTACCAAAGTCGAAGTTGCGACATCTATTCACCAATTTAGCTGATTGTTTTCCATATACGTACGTCGCAAAATTAAGGGATTACACCAGATTTCACTATATCGACCTTAATTCCTCCTAGATTTATATCTACATTCAAGATAATCGTAATTGGAAATAAATTGCTGTTATTATTCACAAGCGTATAGTTTCAGTTTAATTAATGGGACATGCAGACACTATCCGATGGCAGAATAAAAACAGGATCATTCTAAGCTGGGAAAAGAAAAATAATTTTCTATACGTCTAGTGCCGGAATCGCGTGAGAAATTGATCATCATTACTGCCGTTCCGAAGTCTTTTCCAACAAAAACTTGTCTAGACCCTGAGCTTCTCGAAGCTTTTATCACAATTGCCAATCCCAATATCCTAAAATAAATATTTAAATCGCATCGTAATGCATAAATCAAAAGTTTAGGTAAGTTAATTTAGCTTAAACTGAAGCATATTTTGGTAAAGTTTCTACATCGCTGAACTAAGACGTGATTCTTTTACGTCAGTTCATTCGTTTTCAACTAAATTTAAAAACATAGCCCATATTTCTTCTTCGACAAGTTCCGATAAGGGAAAAAACGTAGTTTTTTATTGCAAGTAAAAAGTATGAGAGCATTTTTAAAGTTGGCGGAGTTTATTTTCTTGCTAAATAAAGAACCCCTTCTCCTTTCGAGTCATTAATTATTTCCAGTAATTAACGTGAGATCGACTAGTGAAATGGCGGACAATAAAACAGGAAGTTATGATCAGTTAATTTCACAGCACTGGCACTCGCTGGACAGGGCAATTTATTGTCCTCTCAATTAATTAAGTGGCACCGTGCGCACGTTTTGCATTTAGCTCGAATTTTCCATTGTAATGGCTGACGTGGATGGGATTATAATAAAACAAAACTTTTCATTACAAAGATTAATTTATTTTTAGTTTATCTAACAGATCAACAACGCATAATAACAAAAGGAAAATGTTTTTAAATGCTTAGAATATGGTCATTGTCCTTCGAAACTTCCACTCGGAAAGGATAAATTTGAATGAAAACGGATATATCTATTAGGTTTATACACAAAAAAATATTAAAAATTGAAATGTCATCTTAGATAGGTTGTGTACGAAATACGAGCGTAAATTAACATTAAAATTAGTACAAGTTCAAATGGTTTAGTGGTTTCTCTTTACAAATCAATAAATGACATAGATTTGATGTGGTTATTTACACTTATTAATCAGTAATTCCTTCAGAAAGTACAAAAATTCACCCATAAAAACAGAAATTAGTGGAACAATCAACAAATCTGCAGTTTAATTTTTATACTTCAGCGTGTGTACTAGGTTCGTTTAATTAAGATATTCTAAAAAAGGAGAGTTAATTAGTAATGATCTTTTTTTTAATTTGGATGCTTAGTAATCATATTATTCCACAATTTTGAATGATTACTTGTTCAAGACAAAATAGCAATTCTTATCACACAATTCAGAGTTTTGGTCATTAGTTAAGTCATTAGTGTGACCAACAGAAGAAACGGGATGCCAATTTTCATATTAAAATTAGTTCGAAAGTACGGAATTGTTTAAATTTGTATAAGAAACAGATACTATAAAACAATGCTCGTTGTATCTTTTCAATTTTGTGGAATCTGTTTGCGTTTATCAATTTACAAAGCTGCGGTTATTACCTATTTCTGGAATAGGAGAGTAAACTTTTTCAATTTTTGATAAATTTACAATCGCTCCAACTAAATAACAATGAGTTTCATCATTGAACCAGAAGGAGGTAACTGTTTATTTTTATTTGAAGCAATCCCTGTAAGTACTTTATGCTACCCAAGATTGTGAGTTCCGCAATTTAAATATAGTTTGAATAAGTTTGTCTATAAAAGGAATTGTAGCGAGTATCTCAGGACATCGGGGCGGCATGAAATCGATAAAAGATTAGTCACCTGCGATAAGGAATGAAAGCGGATGTAAATACGGCGCAATCTCTCTTTGATTCGATGATCGCATTGTCCTAGCATTGTTCTTTATTTGAAATAGAATTCTAAAGCTTAAATTACATGTGTGAATTTTTTCTTCAATTTCAAGTACTTAAATTGACCTGTAATACTGATGGACCACCCTGTATAATGTAAATTTCAATTTTCTTTAAGTTTAAATATGGTCGCTGATTTAGATTGAATGCAATTTCGATCATACCATTTGAATTTGAAGCCAATGTTGATTTGCATTAGAAATGCGTTTTTTTTAAATAATCGTCTTGTATTTTTATTTGTATTTGTTCAGTAGATTACATTTAAGAAAGATTAGGGACATTTGCAAGTTTTTTTTAGTTTATCTCATTTAAATCCGGTCTTGCGATAAGAAGTTTGTTATTGCTCTTTGAAAACCAAGTAGATGTTCGTCGATAGTAACACTGGTGTTAGTTTAAAGAAGGCGCATTTCAAGTCAGACGAGAGGGAAATCCAGCCATTTTTTCTAGGGGATTTGGTTGGCTAATGTTAACAAAATCATAAAGAAGCGGCAACGGAAAGTTGAAAGCAGGGTCGTTAAATACGAAGCAAACGGAAAAGGGGTTGTTTGGTTAGGATTTTGGTGAAAGACAGTCAGTCTTGGTGTTTGCAAAGTTATTGTACAAGAAAGTTTCGATCGAGTTCCAACCAGCAATTCCAAAAAAAGAAGAAATGGTGAAGTGGTATTGCGATTTACTCTACAAATTCCAAACTCGCAGTTTTATGAGATAATTAAACAACACAAAAAGCTACACAACGTATCAACTATGCGATGTTAACCAATCATATAGATTCCATCTTATCGACAAAATTTAATTTTAATCGAATTACGGATAAACGGAACTGAACACGGTGAAAGTCCAGTAAATAAAGAAACTACATGAGCATAGGTATCAGCACAAGATGATGAGATCAAGGAAAATGTACACATGCACTGCTTCATAGCGAACATGAACAAAATTATGTCTGGCGATGAGTGTACCTTTTCGATAAAGCTGTGTGGTTCGAGATAAGCGAAGAAAGACCGGATTGTAGGGGAGTTTTCGGCAGACGAGGTTAGACCACCACTTTCCAGAACCACCATTTTAAGTGTGCTGAAATTGATTTTTTTAGCGAAGTTGTACTAGCAGACGCGTACCACTGTTGTACGAGAAATTTCGCTTACGTGTGAAGGTTTGCGGTCCAAATTCCAGAACCAAAACGTGCAATTATTGAGTAAAGTTTATATTTAGGACCTATGCGGCCTACCAAACACTCATCCAATAAATTTATTTCGTGTAGACATTTATCTGAAAATTTCCACTTCAACAAGACCATAAAAATCCAATGCTGATTGACTTTTGCTCTTGACCACTTCTGCCAAACAACAGTTTTCATACAAACTTTTGTAATATTTTTTATGCGCTTACACAATTTCGTTTGTGCATAGCAGCGATTGGGTGTATCACTTGTAAGTGCAGCTGATGAAAATCGTGGAAGTTTCGACCTCAAAGTTAAATTACTTAAAGAGGCCTGCGGCACTTCTGGTTTACGAAACATCTGTTAGTTGGCCAATACACTTCACCTTTGGACCCTAACGAAGTACTTTCCTTGAAGGCGAGCAAATATTTTCGAAACTAAATTAAATTATGCCCCTTACGTAAGCATGGAAACGCTCAGAAAAGCCCAAAAATGTTTACCAAATAAAGTATACTATGCAAACATTTAGATCGATAAAGGGTGCGTGTTTAAATACGTTGTGTTTTTGTAAGTACCCATATAACATCATGAACAAGTACACGTACATTTTTTACGAACTGTATACATTAATTTTATCCTTTGTTCCCTTTTTAAACATTAAAGGCGAGACTATCAGGGAAAAAGATCCTTAATTAAAGCGAGGGCTGACGAAAATAAATGCCAGTGTTCGATTTCGATATGCCACAAATAGACTGGGCAGCTGAAATTGGAAACTAAGCCTACCTAATATACTTACAGCTATATGGGTTTCTAATGCCTCCACTTTGTGTAGAAGAAAAAACGAAGTCTTAACATCAGTAGTTCTAAAAAATTCCAGTTTTCTATTGTCAAGGAAGCGCGTTTGAATTATTAACGAAAACACGTTCCGTTTAACCTAGTAAAATATTGATTTAATAGACGTTTTGTTTTACACGCGTAGTCAATACGTATTTGCATAATTAAGTGTTTGTTAGATTTATAATGTATGCGAATGTCAAAAGTACAGCAGAGGGTGAGGGACGTCCTTTGAAAGATAACAGTGCTGAAATATAGATTTCTTTTTCAGGTTCTGTTGGAAAACTGCTTTTTTTCTATAGAATTACACATTGCAGTCATAAATTTAAAATCGGAATTAAAAGCTCACCGGTCGGCTCCCCAACAACGCAAACATTAGAAAGGGTTAATATCTTCCGCACATAATCTTCTTTGCGAGAAAACCCAAAGTCAACAGTTGTCTTTCCCCCGTACCATTTCAACATTTATTAAAGATGTAATAAGTAAAACAAAGTTCTTGCGAAATTTTCCTAAAGTACTTACAGTTGTGAAACATTTCATTAAACTTATTACTTTATTCTGTTATATCCAACTTTGTTATATCAGCTAAATTATTTTAACAACATTAACGTGGGTAAAGCCTCAGCCGTTTTCGACTGGTATAGTTGTTCAAAACTTTCTGGGGATGTTTGTTGACAACTTCCCTTAATTAATGTACAGACTCATGTCTCTAAAGGAAAGAAAATAGAAATGGTTAAGTAAAATTACCGTATAAACTCAGTATATCGGCATTTGAAAACAGATTCAATTCGAATCTCTCATCAGCTATAAAGTCGTTTAACGCTTTTAAAATTTTGTTTACTGCATTTGCAGCTGACGCGTTTCATTTGTAGCTACTCTTCGTTATGATGGCACTGCCTAATAGATTCTATTTAAGTTCGCCCATTCACAACACTCAAGCAATGTCGGTTTTGATTCGATCAAAAGGAAAAGGAAATGAATGGAAGAGGAGATTAATAACCCATAGCGATAGCCCATTATGAAGAGAAAATCAATCGAACTTTTTAAGCACATTGCTTTTAGAGAGCATTTTGTTTGCTGCGACTTAAAAGATGAAAATTTCATAATAAAACCAGCCAAATCGGCAGTGTGAGTGTGTGAGTCAAAGTGGCAGTAGTGGAGAAGAATGATCCTAATTCATTCTGGAGAAACTACCCGCAATGTTAGGTTGCTCTAATCGTTTTTATCAGGAAATTGTTTTCCCTAAGATGAGTTGCGACTGGATTTTTTTCATTTTGCTGTTTTTGATCAGACCATATTTAATTCGGATTGAGTAATCTGAGAGAATTTTTCTAAAAACTGTCTGGCCAAGATAACGTTTCTTGTGCTACAAGCTTTGCCCTTCCCTTTATTGTATGCTGAGCAATTACTTGTCTTGTCTTACAATTCGTTTGCAAAGGGTCTGGTAATTAAATTCCTTGATTTGCACAATTCATAGTTTCATAAACTGTCTTCGTCAAATACGCATGCGGGTAAATCAGTATTAAAAACGTTTCCAGGAAATAAATCATAGTTACGTTTCGACTAATAAAAAAACTATATTCCAAAGCGAAAAATTAACCAGTTTCAGTGTTTAGTCTTGAACTCGTTTGGCTTTTTTAGTTTAGTACTAATAACTTATATTGCAAAAACAGAAAGTTAGTTTGAATGCAGTCGATATAAATAACGAAGTTCATTTCCCGATGAATTTCATATACAAAAGGTAGCCGTCCGAGGAAGATTCAAGAAAAACTTCAACTGTATCTTCCTAAGAGATCCTATTTTAATTTCTATATTGTCCAGCATTTCAAAGAAGCGCAGTTCCGTTTGTACCCTAAAGAAACCATTGATTCTCGAAATTGCTTTAATTACGGTAACGTAAGCTTTTTTGATTTGTATAAAAAATAATGATCGGTTTTCTTTAAGAAATTGCATTAAATTTTTCTTGAAAGTGCTCAGGATATTCATAAACAAATCAATCGGTGTAAATCTGCTTGGAACGAATTTGTATCTTACCTAATAATAATTATTTGAACCAATCTATTTCGGGTGTTTTAATTCCTTTGGATACTAATATATTCATTTTAAATGAGAATATTCCTTTAGATCAGTTCAACTTCATTATCCAAGGTGTGTATTTTTATTGTGCAAAAAATTGTCTTTCTTATTGTTCATTGAAATATAAATAAAGACAAGGTGGAAGGAAATGTGACCTCGGTATAATAGACTTAAAATTTACAGTTACAACTTGTTTCAAGTATCGTAAGTGCGTTTAATGATGGGACTGTGCATTCAAATGTATGTAAATGTTGTATCCTGAAAAACGCACATTGTTCATATTTTCTGAGACCCTACGTCAACCATAAGATGACCTAATGTGCTCCTTCAGATGGGCTACAATCATTCCTATCTCGCCAAAGAAGTGAACCGAAGCGGTGGGTGTATCAAACAACATCAAATCACTGAATCTACTGAAATGCTCCAAGGAAATAAACTGAAAATTTAATAAATTGCAATGTCTTATTTCAAATTTGCAACTCATATGAAAAACTTTCAATTATCTCGCACCATCCTCTGAACTAAACTCAAGTCAGAGAAATGAAAATTTATCTTTCCGTCCGCAAGATTAGGTAAATTTCGCCCAATTTTATTAAACAAATAAATTCAAAGAAGTTACACGATATAAGTAAATAAATTACCGGTGCACGCAGTTTCGCAATGAACAACGGACACCCTTTCCTTGTAGAAAGTTGATAACAAGAACGTTAAATCAGGTCTGACATTACGTAACGGTAGCAGGATGCATGTCGAAATAAAAATCGGGAAGATGGCATACCTACGATATAAGGTATCGTAGAATGTCATGTATTTAGTACGTTATCACGACATTTTGAATAATGTATTGTTCTCCCTCACGAAATACTATTACAACACACCGCGGGTGGGAAACCAGAACACAAATCTCACGTTATGATCAGAACGTATGTGTGGAACTTCCCTACAAGTTACATTTTGTAGGGCGACTTTGTTGATTGTTTCACTTTTTTATTCGCAAATTTATGGTTGTTGGAAGGAATTTCGTTGCTTTATTAGTATAATTCAAATGAAAGGTGTAACATTAATTGACATTAAAGTTTGTTAAAACCGCTAAACCATTTGACTTTGTTTACATGAGCAAAGGCACTAATTCAAGATGAACCACAGGGAGGTTATAGAGAGACGAACTCGGGAGTTAGAGGGGTACAGCTTGGGGGTGGGGGAGGAGGTGGTGGTGGAAGCTCTGCTGCGGATCCAGGCAGCGACAATGTAGAACTGCCCCCCGCCGTAACACGAGGTCCCATGTTATCGTACTGTGGTACTGCACGCGGTCTCCTTGGGAGGGTGGCCATACCATGATACACTGGTTTGACCCTATGGGTTAAATCCAATAGATCAGGACACCTTGATGCATCTACTGAGGGATCTCTACTAACCGATACTGAAATTAATATGTTGCCGTATGCACCCGCAGGCAAGACGCTCGTAGAAAACTCAGGAGGTGGTGGGTACACCGCCAAGGGTAGTGGTTCGCTTTCTATTGTAATATGTACTGGGGGATCCATGATGTCCAAGTCGGGCGCCAACGCTTCGCAGCTTCCCGTTCCACGATCCGTCGTCGTCGCTATGCTAACATCCAATAACTTCTTTTCTTGGTCCGTAAAGCTTACACTAGCTTTTAAATTGCGTCGTTTTCTTCGACTTTTGTTCTTAAGACAGCACACTGTCATCACTGTACACATAACCGAAAACATTAACACTCCTCCGATACACACAAGAATCCACCATAATAACCTAGATTCCGATTTACTTAAAGTAGTCGCTGTGACAACCTCTGGTAACACCAAAGTCACGTTACTGCTAATGGCAGCTAGCGAGTTTTTTGCAACGCAAGTATACACCCCCGCGTCGGCATCGCTCACGTTAAAAACACTGATGTTGGCCCACTTATCGAGGAGGCCCTCTTCAGCTTCTAACACAAGCCATGTATGATTAATGGGCCTATCTTCGTATAACCACGTAACTTCCGGCTCAGGATCGCCTTTTACGTGACATCCGAAACTTACATTTCCACCAGCTTCCGCTTGTATCAAAGGATACGGAGTGACCGTCACCTGTAAATAAAAAAAAACGCCAATTAGCACCATTTCATATACAAAAAGGCTTTGAAACTCCGAAGGGACTAATAAATTCAGATTGCATTTTCAATATAACTTTGTGCTGATGAAACTTTTTAATGTAGCAAACAAGAAAAGTTTTACTTAAAAGATTTTCTATTGCATGTGCTACTAAATTTAGTAAATGCGTTTAAATAACACTCCCATGCGGACGTTTACTTTCGTCTTTTTGCTTGTTCGTCCTATTAGGATATTGAGGTTGCGAGAGACGCGGGACAAATCCTAATAGAAACAGGATTCGCGAAATAACTTCGTCTAAAGTTCTTCCATCTAATATTTAAGCGTGGCACTATATGACTCCTTAAAGTGAAAATAGACGTAATAAAGAAGGTGCAAAAGTAAACTAAAGAAATGAAAATGAGCTTTAATTAAATGAAATAAATTGAAGTCAGTAAAAACTGGAAACGATAAGGCCTGATAAAAAGCGCGATAAATCACTTTTTTATGTTGAGTTTCCAGTTTTTCCGGGGCGAAAATAAAGAAACAGAAAATTTATTGCTAAGTAATATATCCGACCATCAAGCGTTGTTTGCATCTCGTTCCACAATTGCATATTGCATGGATACATTTCTGTTAAATGGGAGAAAACGTGTCCCTTGGGGTGGATTTTGTGAAGCCCCATATTTTTTCTGTGGCATCGTGTTTGTGGAGATTATTTCTGCCAATATGAGCTTATTACGGCATGTAGGGCACGTGAAATGGAAACAAAATTCGAAATTTTTTATGAGCTTAGGAAGCTGTGTGAAAATTAAAATTGCAACGTAATATACGAGCTAGCGAATTTTTCGTAATTTTGATCTTTCAATTTCGTTCCAAACAGCAACACGGAAGTTCCTTAATTAACGAAGAGGAATTTCGTGGCGATTTTAATTTCTAAGCACTTTACACCGAGTTTCGCAAATCGATTTGTCATTAATATTTGCGGAAGATAAGAAAATAAATTGTAAGTGTACGACCGAATGAAAGAGGAGGTATTCCTCACTGATAATAAATCTTTCCAACTTTCCTGTCACGTAAGTTTTATCATAAATGTTATAAACTTTTTTAATTTTCCATTTTTCTATTGTATCCGTACCCTTTGAAACGAGTATACGCATTCACAAATTCATTTTGTCTTTTATGGCTTCAAAACTAACGTTAAATTTTTATAATCTCTATAAGGAAAAGTTATAAAAGTGTTATTTATAATCCCCCATGTTTTTACTTCGACAAAAACTTTCACACATTGAAAAACCCACAAAAAGCTTCAGTTGTTTGTCTTGTTTTAAAACCCTAATTTCATTATTGCATTAGCTCGCTGTGCAATTTTCCAACACATCTATTTAATTGTGTAAAAATCCAGTTAATATTCATATGCCATTAACTACCATCTGTGAATGCATATATTGATATCATTTTCGAGTATTGTGCATTATCGAAATGAGAAATGTTTACTATTATAACACTTTTATATAATTAAGGGAATAATTCATTTTTTTTAGAAATCGGTATGTTTTCTATAAGAAACTCTTATTTCCCGGTCGATCTGAGACAATTGATTTTTCGGGCCTCAAAAAAGGCAGTGTATAACCTTCCCTTTTTACCAAAAATCGACTGCACCAAAATTTCTCGGGAAAACACTTTTTCTTATTAATTTTGGAGCGTAGAATCCAAAACGATTCGTACTTTTTCGATTAGACTTCTCAATCAAAAGTTATGGACTAGAAACCAATTTCGAAAGAAAATTCAAAGGGCTGTAAGTTTTGAACTAGTAGACAATCGAAAAAGTGAGGCCAGAAAAAAAAATTGTCACAGATCGACCGGGGAAAAAGAAAATTTCAAACGGTTCCAAGATAGGGCTACTAGTTCAAAAGTTACAGCCCTTTGAATTTTCTTTCGAAATTGGTTTCTACTCCATAACTTTTGATTGAGAAGTCTAATCGAAAAAGTACGAATCGTTTTGGATTCTACGCTCCAAAATTAATAAGAAAAAGTGTTTTCCCGAGAAATTTTGTTGTAATCAATTTTTGTTAAAAAAGGAAGGTTTTACACTGCCTTTTTTTGAGCCCCGAAAAAAAAATCGTCTCAGATCGACCCGGAAAAAAGATTTTCTTATAGAATGTGACCTGTAGAATCCATAATTTCAAATAGTTCCAAGATTGGGTTACTAGTTCAAAAGTTACAGCCCTTTGAATTTTTTTCGAAATTGGTTTCTAGTCTATAACTTTTGATTGAGAAGTTTGATCGAAAAAGTACGAATTGATTTGGATTCTACGCACCCAAATTAATAAGAAACAGTGTTTTCCCGAGAAATTTTGGTGTAGTCGATTTTTGGTAAAAAAGGAAGGTTATACCTACACTGCCTTTTTTTGAGGCCAGAAAAAAAATTGTCACAGATCGACCGGGAAAAAAGATTTTCTTATAGAATGTGGCCTGTAGAATCCACAATTTCAAACAGTTCCAAGATTGGGCTACTAGTTCAAAAGTTACAACCCTTTGAATTTTCTTTCGAAATTGGTTTCTAGTCCATAACTTTTGATTGAGAAGTCCGATCGAAAAAGTACGAATTGTTTTGGATTCTACGCACCAAAATTAAAAAGAAAAAGTGTTTTCACGAGAAATTTTGGTGCAGTCGATTTTTGGTAAAAAAGGAAGGTTATACACTGCCTTTTTTTGAGGCCCGAAAACAAAATTGTCTCAGATCGATCGGGAAAAAAGATTTTCTTATAGAATGTGGCCTGTAGAATCCACAATTTCAAACGGTTCGAAGGTTGGACTACTAGTTCAAAAGTTACAGCTCTTTGAATTCTTTCGAAATTGGTTTCTAGTCCATAACTTTTGATTGAGAAGTCTAATCGAAAAATACGAATCGTTTTGGATTCTACGCCCCAAAATTAATAAGAAAAAGTGTTTTCCCGAGAAATTTTGGTGCAGTCGATTTTTGGCCTTTTTTTGAGACCAGAAAAAAAATTGTCTCAGATCGATCGGGAAAAAAGATTTTCTTATAGAATGTGGCCTGTAGAATCCACAATTTCAAACGGTTCCAAGGTTGGGCTACTAGTTCAAAAGTTACAGCCCTTTGAATTTTCTTTCGAAATTGGTTTCTATAACTTTTGATTGAGAAGTCTAATCGAAAAAGTACGAATCGTTTTGGATTCTACGCCCCAAAATTAATAAGAAAAAGTGTTTTCCCGAGAAATTTTGGTGCAGTCGATTTTTGGTCAAAAAGGAAGGTTATACACATTTAATTAACTTTGTATATATCAGTATACGATCCGTAATTCTTGTAATCTAGGTGGATATAATTATGATCGAGTTTGGAACGCGTTATATTGTTGGAGTACACTGCATTCCTTCCGAAGTAGTGCACAATTGAGAATCGCAAACGATACTGAAGCGGATTTCAAGTAGATCAAAGCCCTTCAGGAATGAATCGATTAATTAGATACAGAACCATGTGGATAGGAAATTTCGAGTTCTTCAATTTGTGCTGGATTTTAGGGCCAGAACGTTGGGATTGAGCTTTTTATATTGTTACTTGTGCTTGTGCTTGTGCGAAATATCATCTTACTTGTTAAGAATCGTTGTGAGATACAGTAAATCAATTTATTCGATCATTATTGAATCAGGGGATTTAACGTAATCGTGTGGAATTTATACAGTGGGTTTGAGTGAAAGCAGCGTTAGCTTAATCCATCGATATAAAATCTCATTAGTTTGAAGAGTTACAATCAAAAGGAGTAGACCTTTCTGCGACGCCACTTGTATGAGTTAATTTTTAAGCACTCCGAGTATACAAGATTTGTCCACTTCGACTGAGCGGCCCGATGACCATTTTGCGTTGCGGAATTGAGGGCCTGCAAACTTTTAAATGTACTACATGTGTGTCCTTTCGAATTGTTTACGGGAGTCCTACTACTAATTGCACTAGATTACAACGGTTCAGAATTAAATTTTCAAGTGTAAGAGGAGGACACTGTAAGGTGCTTTTATGAATGCAGGTCAAAATTAATCTATAATAAACGGAATAACTGATTGACACAAATCCCCCCAAACGACGATGACGATAGGCATACGATAAAGTAAATTTGCCATCTTAATAACAGTGTTACACTGTATGAGAAATTTGATATCCGCCATCTCATTTTCCACTATGTCGACTCGATCGTTCGATGGCAGCTACGGCGTAAATTCTCTTAATCTACAGCACGTAAAGTAGGTAATCCACACGTTTACAATAGGTCTATCGAGAACATTTTGCTATGAAATTTTGAACCGTTATAATACCTCTAATTCAATCAGATTTGTGCATCAATTGTCAATTACAGTTCATACATAATTCGCATATTAAACGTGGCGTAATCTCAATAACTGCTAACACGCCTCCGTTTAACTATGAACAGAAATGTTAATTTTCCCAGGACAGTGCACTTAATTTGTTACGCTACCGATTTAAGTATTGTTCAATAATCTGAATTGCGTATCCGCTTTATCATACTTCGAAAGGTATATTGTTTTAAATTGATAATATTGAACTCGGAGATATCTAAAAACCAATATTGGCCCAGTTGCTACGATAAAGCGGTATTCCAATTATTCATATTTGTAGAAAAAATGCAAAGCCTTTTAATGTTGCGCAAAGTTATGGAGAAATTTAAATATCTACAATCTATTCTCGTATAAGAAAAAAAAACAGGTACCTACGCAAAAGATAAACAGAAATAATCTAAAATTCAGAAGCTGATCCCATGCTGCGGCCGCTTCAATTTCAAGCAATTTTCTCGCTCCACAACGCTCTCCAAACACGAAGGAAAACGAAAAGCACAAAAATGAAAAGACAAATACCTTTACGATCTTATACACTGAAGGAAGCACAATGACGAGATGGCCGTCCACTTAATGAGGTGTTTGCATTTTCACCACCAAGACGTTTTGCTAATTACTCTCACTAACATAGA